CTAGCTTCAAGTGAGAATTCAAACTTGATTTGATTTAGAATCCACCTTTTTGTCCTTTTCTCAGATCATAGTACCCATAAAACAAATACAGAGAAACATAAAGGATCGCAATTGATAAAGGTGTCATACAATGATGTAGTTTATCTTCTAGTTCATCTACATGCAAAACATCTCATTAAAATGGATTAAAATTGAGATGAAGAAGCAATAAATATTGGTGAAACAAATATCAGTGATTTACGATATGTAGATGAGACCATATTACTGGCAGAAAATAGCAATGACTTTTAAATGCCTACCAGGGCATTTAAAGAAAATTAAAAATAGGATTACAGCTGAAGAAAAGACACTGCTGAAAATTAAAAATGAAGAAGAATTACATAACTTTAATGTTGACAATAAAATAAATTGAAATGGTTCAATATTTTCTAGGTCCAATCATTAACCCAAATGGAAAACGCACAAGAAATCAGAAGACTTAGACTTGGAAGGTCAGTTATGAAAGAACTAAGATCCTCATGTGTAAGAATGTGTCAATGGAGATCAAAGCCAAAAGTATATGTAGTACAGTATTCTTAATTTATATGTATGGATGTAAAAATTGGACAGTGAAGAAAGCTGAATAAGGAAAATAACTAATTAAATGATGGAGCATTTTACCAATACCATAGACTGCAAGAAAGACAATTTGAAATTTAGTAATACATTATTTAGAGCAGCGGTAAAGCACAGAACATGACTTCCCTCTATCTTTAAAACATTTCTAGGGTTAAGTGAAGTAAGGAAGTGAAACTTATCTTTATTAGACTATGTCATTCCAATTGAGCTCCCTGGGCTACCATTACATCTAATTAGATTGGCCCAATTATTATGCAGGGATGTGGCGGTGCTGCTGGTTAAACCAGCAGTAAGGAGGTCGAATCCACGTAACGGAGTGAGCTCCCGTCTCTTGTCCCAGCTCCTGACAACCTAGCAGTTTGAAAGCATGTAAAACTGCGAGTAGATAAATAGGTACCACCACGGGGGGAAGATAACAGCGTTCCGTGTCTAGTTGCGCTGGCCACATGACCACGGAAACCGTCTATGGACAAACGCTGGCTCTACAGCTTGGAGACAGGGATGAGCACTGCGCGCTAGAGTCAGACAAGACTGGACTAAATGTCAACGGGAACCTTTACCTTAATTATTATGCAGAGAAATCCAGAGGTCTGTCTTGTTTTTAAAAATAGCATTGTTTCAGAGTTTCCCTCCCCAGTTATTTTCCATTGTGCTTTTAGAAGCAAGTGAAACTATGCCATTATCTGATCAAGAGGATCTTGATGGGTTTACAGAGCTATCCTTCTTCTACAATATAATTGAATAGTTGGCTCCAGCAGACAAGAATGGATGTGCTACATGGACAGAAATCTTAAAATGGTCCCATGCCCCCAGATCCATGTGCAAACTTACTGCCAAAACTAGTGGCTGAATTTCAAGCCTGGCTGCTGCCCAACAGCCAGTTTTTCAACTTCACCACACACTTATTTTGCTGAGTTCAACTGTGTTTTATATCTTCACCTAGCACTGAGCATTTTCCTGCTAGCTCTACTCAGGAGATAGACTTGAATTTATTTTGTCTTCCCTGTCTCTCACCACTCTGAAGTTCTCCAGTAGCACCTTGCCACCCTGCACCTATTCAATCTATGCACAATTTGAGTTCAAATTATTTGGACTTGTGTATCCAGATGTGGGACGTGGTGGCGCTGTGGGCTAAACCGCAGAAGCCTGTGCTGCAGGGTCAGAAGACCAAGCAGTCGTAAGATCGAATCCACGCGACGGAGTGAGTGCCCGTTGCTTGTCCCAGCTCCCGCCAACCTAGCAGTTCGAAAGCATGCAAATGCGAGTAGATAAATAGGTACCATCTCGGTGGGAAGGTAAACAGCGTTCCGTGTCTAAATCACACTGGCCATGTGACCACGGAAAGATTGTCTTCGGACAAACGCTGGCTCTATGGCTTGAAGAGCGGGATGAGCGCCGCCCCCTAGAGTCGGACACGACTGGACAAAAATTGTCAAGGGGAACCTTTACCATTTTTTATCCAGACTTTTGGATAGTGGGCCATTGAATAATACTCTTTTCTTGATCCAGCAGAATATGCATGGCAAGCCATACATTACATTATTATTATGCCACAAGTAAAGTGGGAATTATAAAATATCTTGTTTTCTTGTATTCTGTGAAACCTTGCTGATTTGGGGTGGGTTTTAAGGCTTTCAATCAGCATTTCCATTTGAGTCCCAGAATCTATTTAGAAGAAATATATATATATAATGCAAGATAGAACTATACAAGAGCCAATGATCCCACCTGACATCAAATGGCACTCCTACATCAGAACTGTAAGGGGTACACCGTGTTTCCCCAAAAAATAAGACAGGGTCTTATATTAATTTTTGCTCCAAAAAACAAATTAGAGCTTATTTTTAGGGGATGTTTTATTTTTTCATGGACAACAATCTACATTTATTCAAATTCAGTCATTTCATCTTCTGGTTGCTGCACAATGGTGGATAGCAGGGTTTCACTTAACTGGAGCTTATTTTTGTTTCTGATCATGGGGCGTTCTTGGCAAAGATACTGGAGTGGCATTGCCATTTCCTACTCCAGGTGGATTACGTTTAGTCAGAACTCTCCACTATGTCCTGTCCGTCTTGCGTGTCCCTGCACGGCATAGCCCATAGCTTCTCTGAGTTACTCAAGCCCCTTCGCCATGACAAGGCAGCAATCCATGAAGGGGTTATTTTTTAGAGTAGGGCTTATATTAGGAGCATCCTGAAAAATCATACTAGGGCTTATTTTCAGGGTAGGTCTTATTTTCAGGAAAACAAGGTAGGAACTTACAGGGCTGGCCTGTCTCTTCTGTATCTGACAATAACATGTGTAATGGCTGGCATACTTAGTGGATTGCAGAATCAAGGACCAGAGTTCAAATCCCCACTGTGCTTCTTGAAAGAGGGGGCAGCCAAGATCAGAGCGTATGGGGCTGGTGGGGTTACATGTCCTACCACTTTTGTGGTCTTGAGCAAGCTGCACAGTCTCAGAGCAACTGACAAACTACTTCTGACTACTTAATAGCTCAAAAATCCTGTTGCCATAGGTTAAGACCACAAAGGATCTACAAACATGACTCCATTGTTTGCCATTTATTGTTTGGTTTTTTTTCTTCAAATAAAAGGTTTATATATTTGGAGGTGAGTTTCAATAGAACTGTTCTTCTCCAGAAGAGTGTGTGTGAGAGATTGCAATCTGGAAGCAGATTTATCCTGATCATCTCCTTCATGCAACATAGACTTAACTTGCTGAGTTCACTACAGCAGTGTCCACCAGTTTAGAGAGCTTTACAAAAGAATGAAGCAATGATGATATCTCTAGGTTTGGGTACTGTACACTTCTGAATCAATATACCTTGGAAATAATCAGCTAGGGAAATCCAGAAACTACATGGGCAACATTGTGAACTCCTGTATAGCTTCTGGCTGGCTCTTTTTGAAAAATGAATGCTGAACTAGATGGACCTTTATCCTATTAAAGTAACTCCTATGCTGTTACATTGTTCTTATGATCTGTGTTCCTCTATTGCTGACTCTATGCCATCCTGCATCCCAAACCAAGAAAATCCTAATTTGCAAACATATCATTTTCATGACACATTCCTTTACAATCTTGGTGTTAGAGAGCTCCATTTCTCTCTACATGAGGCACAGACAACAGCAATAAAAGCTTTCTCCACATGATGACAAATCAGATTGGGATTCCCTTTTAACAACCAGTGGGCTGCTGTTCAAGTGGAGATGGAATAATGTAAAGCATTTTTGGCAAAATGCCACAAAGCCAATACTAAAGCACAAGGGAAGCATTGCTGAGTATTGAGGACAAGGTCCTCCTCTGAATTTTGCCTTTCCCATACTGTGTTCTGTAGACACACAGTACTATATAACAAGTTTATTCAATGCTGAATAAACAAATGGCAAACTCAGTACCTGGCTACTCATATGTAATATTGAGTTCAATGGATCATCTTCATAGATAGCTTTAGGATGCAATGTATTCTCTTTTGATATCCTCTATTTTAGTTTGCAATCAGTTTGGCAGTATGGGTGACCCATATTGAATTCTCAAACAGCTGACTTTGTTTAACCACTGAAGAGCATAACTTAGTAATTACTATTATTTGTGTGGACTTCAACTCCCAGAATTCTGTCAGTATGGTCAATCACTTTTCCAGCTGTGGAAACAATTTAGGAATGAAATTGGTGCAAAGAGTGGGCTATTATCTTGTAATTACATATGTTAAATGATTGGGTGAGAATTATCTACACATATTGGAATTCTGACTGTAGTAAGAAGTGCATGAAAGCAAAGTACAAAAAAGGAAAAATAGTCTCAGAGATGGAAAATTGATTCAGCTGGCAGTGGGGTCTTGTGACTATTTTTTAAATTTCCAAATGTTCTTTTCCTGTTTTTATTCCCTATTTTTTTCTATCTCTTTAGTTTGAGCTAGCTTATAATTCACAGACCATTAGGAGAAAGATAACTAATGCAAAAAAGGCAAAAAACCCCATTCTTTTAGGGCTCATGTAAGAAAGCCTAGGATTTTTCTCAAAATCAGCTGAGCCTCATCTTCCATTTTAAAATAATGGTCAGTTTCCTAGGGCTTGCTACTAACGAGGTAAACGGGGAAATAATTGCACTACCTAGCAAGTCACAAAAAAATAAAATAAATAAAAACCCAACGCGTGGACTTGACAGCACTGTAAAACATTTTTTAAAAAAGGCCACCATTTTAACGGGGCTCACTGACAAGGAAAAATGGATAGCGTCCCTGAAGCAAGGTAGATCCGGCACCTAACTCCCTCACCCTCAAGCCAGTCGCTCACTTAAGTTTTCTTTCTTTCTTTTTTTCCCTATTCATTATACTGTAGTCATTCACAGCAAACGCTGCCTGGCAACCCTTATCGCTAAGCCTCCGCCTTTCTGACTCAATGGCCCAATGATTATGATGAGGGCATGGGCTGCGCCTCACCCCGCTGAAAGACTCCGGTCAAGGTGGACTCATCTCCTATCTTACTGTACTTATAACACAGCTCGCAGAGTGAACAAGACGTTAGCTGCCTTTCTACGGCCTTCACAACCGCCAACCTCCCCCTCGACTCCCGCTCACACCCACCATCCCTCCCCAAAGAACCGAGAGGAAAGAACGCCGCGCATTGAGATTTTAAATGGAGGAGGCCGGGGCTGGCCCGTGACGTCTCCTCCCCCCATTGGCCTATCGGCGCGATGACGTCACGGCCCGAGAATTGGCTGCAGGGGAGGGGGGGACGGAGGGGCTCCTTGGGGAGCCAGCAGAGGAAGGAGGAGGGAGCAAGACCGAGGGGGGGGGGAAACTGGGGCGGAAGCTCCCCGGGCATGGCGTGGCGGCAGCAACAGCAGCAGTACGGGAGCGAGGAGAGAGCTCAGCGGCTGAGGCGGCGGTAACCGAAGTAGGACGCCTTGGAGCTCGCGGAGGCAGGTACGAATGCCTGCCTGCCTGCCTTGTCCGCTTGGTGGGTAGAGCCGGCGATAGGAGGGGAGCCGAGGCGCCAGGTGTGCCCGCTCTTTCTGAGGGCGAGGGGGGCGTGGGTGCAGAAGGAGCCCCGGCGGAGAACCCGCTTGCCGGAGGTGCCTGTGGAGCGGGAGGGGAAGGGCAGCCTGGGGTCTGCGAGGTGGGTCTTTGCCGCTCCCTTTGTGGCGGCGTCGGCGGCTTGCCCGGTTCCCCTCTGCAGGGGGATTTTGCGGGAAGGGAGTGCCTGGCCAGGAAAGGAAGAAAAGAAAGAGAGAGATGCGGCGAGGGGGGGGGGGAGGAGAGAGGGAGATTCTTTCATCCGTTTAGTCTTGGTTCGCTCAAAGACCCTGTTGGAGACTGAAACCCTTTGAAACACTTTTCCCTCGGCGTAAGGATGAAGCCCTAGGAGTTAATTATTTTTAAGAAAGAAATAGAGGGGCGGGTCCTCCATAAATAAGAATTAAGAGCAAGCAAGACCCGGACCCTTCTTCCGCAGAATCGCAAGGCGGCTGATCCGAAAGCCCTTTCCTAGCTTTACAGCCCAGCCAGCGCGGAGGTTCGTTTGTTAAGTCTGGAAACCGGCGCGCCTTCTCTTTCTCTTAGGGCGAGTACATCTGCAACCCATTGATGGCGCTCCCCCTTCCTCTCCCTCCCTCCCTGTAATATGAATGCATTATGTTCCGGGGGGCGGCGGGGGAGAGCGGGGACGGAGAGCCTGGGAAAGAAAGGATCGGCTTCGAATCGCGATTTGGTTTTAATCACCCTAATTGGACAAAACGGGGAGGTGTGGGCCGGCTCTCTTTATGGAGGGGAGTGTATGGTAGTCGGTGTCTCTACTTGTGTCGGTGAGTCAGTGGGTGTCCTTTTTTTTCTCTCTGAAAGAGGCTTTTCCATTGTCTGGGAGAAAAGCGAGCGTGTCTCTTTAAAATCCCGTGAATGAATGTCACGGCTTGGAGATGATGAATGTTGCGGTTCGTACGGTGTGCGTTGCGGGAAGAGAATGAGCGCCTCGGTGGGAAAGTTAGAGGAAGTAGTGGATGAAACAGAAAATCCCTCGATGTGCTTACGTATAAATGAACTAGGAGGAAGAGAGAAGAGCTTTCAGATCCCGGGAACTACCGAACACAAGAGAACCGTCGACAAGCTCTCTCTTGCCGCTCCCCTGCCACGCTGGGGGGGGGGGATCCGCGTGGGAAACTTCTTCCCAGCGGGAGATCAGGAAGATCTGCTCGCAAGCACTCTTGCAGTTTTGAAGTGCCCCTTTCTAGATGGTGTGGTCCTGGAGGAGGAGGTTGGTTGTAGGGATGCAGACTGTCTTGGAAAAGGAGGAATTTGGGGAAAAGCCAGGTCGTCCTCAGTCTTAAGGAGTTGCAGGGGAGGAAAGGTTCGAAACCCTCCCTGCTTTGCTTTTCCTGCTCCAATGGCAAGAGGCCTCACAGATTAGACTTCTGCACCGGCCTGGGAAGTTGAAGGCTGATTACAGAAAGGGAAACACAGGCAGTATGTTTATCAAGTTCGGGCTGGGTTGGGGAGTCTGGTATACTAAGCAATTCCTTATCTCAGCCGCAGCTGCAATGTTTCCTTACCTACTTAAATGTTTTCAGCTTTATGGGATTCTCCATCTTTACCTGCAGTATTCCTTTTTGCTTTTGGGGGAGGGGAATCAGACCTTCAGCCCCCCTGGAGTTGTTTAGAGGGTTCAGGACGGAGAGAGTTGCTGCCTCTTTTTCAGCTTGACTTGCTGAAATTCAGCTTGACAAAAGTGTTCTGAAGCAAATCCTGGACAAAGGCAGCTGCTAGAGTTACACTCCTGTTTCCTCTGCCTTGCTTAAATTTCAAGCTGCTCTGCCAAGTCCTGTGTGTACAAGCGACTCTGTTCAGCAGCCGTTTAGATCCACACCTGCGAAATACATGGATAAACCAAGCTTATGAAGAGTAGTTCTAACTTTTTTTTCCCCAAGTAGACTCCATGGAGGTTATCTTTACCCTTACATAGTAAGCCTTTGTGCAAGACTGGTGAGCTTAACTCTGTGATCTATGTTGGAGCAGAGATACTTCTTTCAGTGCTCGGGGCACGATGTTGGCAAATGTTTCAGCTATAGCAGCTCCCCCTCCCAGATGTTATAAATTATTTAGCTGGGTTTCTTCAAAACACACAGACACGTACAGTACATATAAGCACACACAGCCTTTTGTGCTTGTGGGTAGAGGCTCAATGAATGGTTTAAACATTGTTGGCTCTTTTCGCTCCCACTTCCCAATCAAGAGTTGCAGAGATGTCTTATTTTTCCTGAGCTCTCTGATTTTGACCCAAATAATTGAGGGGGTTGGAGGACAGATGAGCATAGTTTGGAGTTTTCCACCATGCGTGGCATACTACAGACCCTAAAGCCAAAAGACCAACTTAGGTTTCTCAATGGATGCATGTTTACTAAGAAGTAAATTCCACCAAATTAAGGGGAAGTGCTCCCTAGAAAATGTGGATAGGATTGCTGTCTTAATGGCAGTTCTGGCTTGGAGGGCCATAAATTCTGCCTTCCATCTGCTGAGCTGTCAGGTACACAACTAAGCATGACTACAGTATCAACTTTCAAATGCTGAACATCCACCCAAGTTGTAATATCCTGTGGACTAACAGCAGCCTCTCCTCCTGCTTGGAATTCATCATTCCAGTAGCTGTCTCAAGTAGCTCAGAGTGGACATTTCTCTCCAAATGTGGAGGCAGCAAGAGAAACAGGTCCTTCAACTTTATAATGTATGCTTATGAGGTACCTGGTTCTTAGCAGTGCTTAGTGCAGTACAAATGCCTGGAGGCAAGTTCCAAGCCAGAGAACATGGCCTCTGGTGTCTCTGTGTTAATTAGCAAATGGTTTTTGAACTCTTAAATCTGTGGGTGGACCATTCAATAGATTGTGATAAATGGCAGTGTCTTGATTGACAAGCAACTTGGCAGATTGCCACTTCCATTAAGGAAAGATAGTGGCATTCCTACAACAAAAATCCAAAAGTCCAAGGATGCTCTGTGACAATGCAGAGACCCAGGTGGCCAGTCTTGGCTGCGGCTATCATGCTTCAGCAGAGATCCTAAATTTCAGTCTGTAAAATAAAGCCCTGATATATCACTTCAAGCCCTTACACAGCCGAGTGGTATTTCTTCATCATGACCATCATCACAATAGCTTCCCTTCCTGTTGGTCCTTATAGCATTAGTTGCTGTTAGGGACTGTGCAGGTAGAGAGGAGAACAGAAGATTTCAGCAGATACAGTATTAGGGTTTGGAGGAAAGAGGTTTTTTAAATTTATTTTTTTCAAAACTGCTTGGTCTTTATAAGCAGTGGTTGTGGGGTTTGTTCCCCTTCTTTGGTAAAAAGGACAATGTTATTTTAAACAGAAATGGTAAATGAATTCACTAGTCCAGGCTGTTTTCTGCACTCAATCCCAGAAGCAATTTGCTTAAAAGAACAAACCTGTGTACTGTACAATCCTTATATTCATGGGAAGGCCATGCTACTATTATTATTACTGTACTAGTATTAGTTTTATTATTTGTTTTAGTTTTTTATATGCCACATTTCTCCCAACAAGGGACCCACTGGTGTTGTGGATCTTCTGATTATTATTAAACATTACCCACTATTGATGCCTACAGACCATGCAGTTGGAATGTCTGGCTTTTGTTAGGTTACTGAGAATCTGGGAGTTGCATTCAGTCTGGAACACACCAGAGTAGAAGCAATGTGGAAGTATAAAGAATAGAGATGATTTTTGATACTGGCTTTATGGTGGTCCAGTGACTGTTTTTTTGTGCTTTTTGTTAATATGGCTTACAGTAGTATGGCATTGTAGGAATGACAAGTTCTTCCCCAGCTCCTCTGCAAAGGTATCTGTCCGGCTGCATTCTTCTTCTGGAAGAGAGTGGTATAAGACCACCTGACTCTGCAGCTGACAACATGAGGAGTGTGCCCTGCAGAGCCAGTCCCCAAACCTGGCTAGGGGTGCCTTCTGAGAGCTGTAGTCTGACATAAGACTTTGTACCTAAGCCTCACCCTAACGTAACATGATCAGAGGTGGAAGTCTTCAGCCTTTGCTTCCCTTGAAACAAGGTAATAATTTGCCTGACTGGGCTGACTGATGTGTCTGCTGACAGAGCATGATCTTTCTGGACCTGAAAGAGTGACCTGAAAGGGCTTCACTAGTTGTTAGTCAGTGGTCAGTTCTGAATGTCTGAAACTAGAGTCCCACAGAGGAGTGAGGAGTGTCCGGGTTTAACTTCTAAGGGGTATAGGTTGCCTTAGTTCATTCAGCTCTGCAACTCTGAGAAGTGCTGTTGTGTTTTTCCTGACTGGTTTGGTCACAGGTTGTTGTGCCCAGGGGGATGGTCACTTAAAACGGGTTGGCTTCTGCTGACACAATGGGGCTTCTGCTGAGCCCTGCATTCCAGATCTCATTGTTTGGCCTGATTGTTCAGAGCCCAAAGAGTGGTAAACAGTCCTCTGAGCTCCTATCTGCCAGCAGATGATTGTTTTACCTGGCTTTGAAAAGCTCAACTGTGGTTCCTTATTGACCACCTAAGGGTCTGTCACTGTGTTCTAGCACAAAAACAAAGTTTCTGCAGAGGAAAGTTCCCATCCTCTCTGTTTCTGTGTGCTCAGAGAGATAGTAGGCTGAGTACTGGGATGCAAAATTTGCTTGGCTCGTATAGCATACAGGCACATGCCTTTTTTCAGAAGTAGAACAGGAGTGCGCAACAAAGAGTTTGGAAAGTTGCTTTTCAAGACTACTAATTGCTGATTAGACTAATTTCAAACACAACTTGCCATTTAGTTACATGACCTGTTGGTTATTGTATTCCTTTATTGAAGAGAAACCAGCAGTCATGTGGCATCTATTTGGCTCGTATAGCATACAGGCACATGCCTTTTTTCAGAAGTAGAACAGGAGTGCGCAACAAAGAGTTTGGAAAGTTG